TCTATCCTGTGTCTGTGTACACTGTGAGTATGGTGTCTGTGGGGTGAGCACGAATGCATGTTAGGAAAAAATCAGCCATGTGAATTGATAGTACTTTACATTTGCATCCCAGAAGTATGTGGAAGACGCAGACGAAATCAAGTCTCCATTGTGGTAGGCTCTGCCTATACAAGAGATAGTCTCTGCCCAAAGAATTTGCAATCAAAATAAACTATTGAGTGATCCTCTGCAGCTATATATGCCACTGAAAGATAAAACTACATCAAGTTCATAATGAAATTACTCACAGTTCATAAACTTGTCAGGGCACAGAGATAACATTGCCTCACCTAAAGTGGGTTTGCATTATGTGAGTTACTTCTTATTAGTAAATACATTATGCAGTATTCCTCAACAATTTATAATGACTTGTATGTGAAGAGAAGAAAATGAAATAGTGAAGAAAACTCACAGGTGTAGAAGTGAGATAAAGAAGGTGCAGAGAGTGCAGAGTTCTGCTATAGGGCAGCTGCTCTTATTCTCTACACAAAAATTCTCTGAGCCTATGATAGGTTGTTTGTTGTGAAATGGTCAGCCAAGCTGCTGCACGGGATTGCACTGTCTGGTGTTCTATAGCAATGAGCTGAACATATATAGTACAGATAGCAAATGTTCCTGATCTTTCTGTGGTAACATATCAAAGGAAGAGCAGCTACAGTGTGTAGAATACAGATGTTAGTACTTATTAGGTAAGCAAAAAATGACAAAACTGTAAATTTCAAGCTATGGACAATTTACCATGGCCAGCAAATGAATACTAACACTTGAATACCTTGTCAATAGACATCTTAAGATTCACTGCTCTACTTAGCATTTCCTGTGTTAGCAGGTCCTAGTTTGTTGCATGGGTCCTCTCTCCTTTGTTGGCATCCACTCTGAGCTATCTGCAAGCTTGTATTCTTCCTCAGTAACAGAGGACTCCACCAGGAGTCCACTCCACCAGTCTCAAAACTGGGCAATACTGTTCCCAAAGCCCTCTGCAGGGCGCTGAAGTTCAGGTGCCTCCTCTGTAAAACAGGTTGTGACACTCCTGGGTTGGTCTGCTTTCAAGATTAGTGTACAATAAGTCTTCATTTTTCCTGGGAAGATTATCTCAATCACAGATTGCCTTAGGTGTGGACACGTGAGGTTGCTCTGTGTGTCATCGTGGGATTGTTTGGATTGGTTTGCATGGGTGTAGCACCATGAGAAGGGAGCTGCACCGGTTCTGGTCTGCCTGAACTCACATGCCTGGCCCTGAAAATCCTGGTGAGGTGGTTATCTGAGCCTCTGCATTGTTTCATTTTGCTTTTTCTTTAAACCTGTCTATCTATCATTCCTCATAGTAGAAACTGTGTTAAGGAATCTGCAGAAGTACCTACCCAGATGTCTATGACAGTGTGCATGCTGTCCTTGTCACAGACTGTACCCAAAGACCCAACCTACTGTGGAGAAAAACATAGCCTCCAAAGTGAAATGGATGTAAGTGGCATATGTGTAAATGGAAATTGTTGGGTAGTAACTGTCACAAAGATGCAGAAAAATGGAAGAAACAAGTCCCACTTCTCCAGAGACTCCCTCTATGGTGTTCAGTCTAGGGCTATGAGACAGAAAAAGTACCTTAGCAGATTCAGGCTACAGGCTTCAATTTCCCTGTCCCTTGAGCCAGAGTGTCTGGGGGTTTGAAATTTGGAGCTGGAGCTCTCTTCTGTCGGCTTATATTGCACGAGAGGCATTGATGGCTCCCCTGTGGCAGGGAAAACAGAAACATTGCTCTGTCATAGCTGAGCACAGCAAATTATTTCCTTCAGATTGTGCTGCCACTGCCATGTTGTTGAGCAAGAGAAGGCTCCCTGGTTCCCCCATTCCCTGCCCAAAGTCACAAGCTTGGCAAAGGTTTTAAATAAGTTGAAGAGTAAGTACCTCTTCCACTTCGTCTGATAATTGCTGTAACACATGTCATTGGATAGCAGTGCCATACTCCAGCCTCACATTTTTCTACAGCCTCTACTGCACCTCTAGTCTCTGATACTTCTGGAAGGGTACTGTGTGTTTATGGGAAGCCACTTGTGATTTCTAGAGCAATGTGTTTCTGCAAAAGAATAAGCTCCAACAAACTGAAAAAAATTCTGTATTTTAAAAATGTAACGAAATTTTAAAAGGGTTATAGAAAACTGAATCATTGACTGGAGCTGGATGATCTACATGAAATAGAGAATAATATTCAATTTGTCTAAAACCCTAAGTTCTTCTCAAAAGGCAGTACAAAATAGCACTCAGAGGGACAAAGTAAATTAGAAAACCACCAACATAGTTCATAGTTGTAGGAAACTAATTCATACAGGTTGCAGCAAATATGGCATAACTACAGCACCACAGTTTGTTCTTCTTTATATATCAGCAAAGCCTTTATTTCTTTGAAGATGGGTAATTGTATGGAATACAGTACTTTTGTCTTCTTACCTACAGTTCTTCTCCACAGTCACTCTACACTGCAGAATGTATTGACTACAAACAATGAAAGCAGGACTCCTTCACTTTTGTTGTTCTTCAGAGACTGTCAGTGTATCTGATAGGCTGAAACTGTCATAGTGAAAGAGTGTGCATATGAACATAAAAGCATGCTATTTATCTTCAAAGAGAAAAGCAATTGAGAAGTCTCGACAGATCTCTTGATTATTTGGATTTCTCAGAAAAAGATATTGCTTTTATTTAAACATAAAAAAGAAGAAGAAAAAAGAAGGTAATCTAAAGGCAAAATCTGAATTCCTGGTATCATTATCTCTGCAGGATTGATACCAAGTTCACACTTCCAGTCCACCTATCACATTCATAACTTCTAAAAATCCACGAATCTAGAGGCACTAATTCAAAGTACTACCAGTAAAATTGTTGCAGCAGCCTGGTCAATACCAGCTTTATCTTCAAAGGCACTTGTCTGAAGCTCATCCTTCCAAGAGCAGAGCCTTCATTTTCTAGTAATTCCAAGAGAAAAAGATGCAAGCACTATGTTCTGCTGCACTGACAAAGAAACTAAGAGGACTATACTTACACGCCCAAGCACTAGTGAAACGTGAGGAGTTTCCAAGCATAAAATGTGTTTTATGGCATTACTCCAGCAGAGGGAAGCACTTGCTACAGAAGAGGTATCCTTCCCATCACTGCATGTCGAGGCATTGCCAGTTCCCTAGCATCACCGGAGCTCCTGGCCTGGCATTATGTTTTCCTCACTGAACAAGGAACAGAACATGGAGGATTGCTATCCGTACCCGTTTTTCAGTATGAAGTCAACAAAATGCTCTCTCTCATTTTGGGGACTTCTAGCACCACGTACAGGAAATAAGAATGTGGTCCAAAATTTGCCCAAAATTTGTTACAGATATAGATAGTTACAGCTAAGAATGGGAACTTCACCCATAGATACCTTAACATCTGAAGACCTAGAAGCAAAGCTTGGCCTTGTCTGCATTATTATTTAATCTGGCTGAAATTCTAGTTTGTTCTAAGAGTATTTTTTGATTTTGAAGAAGAGTGGGTCTCTCAAGGACTTTGTTGAGTCTCTCCTCCATGAATAAAAATAACCTTATACCTGCCAACAATACGGAGGGTCACTTATATCCAATCTCAAATAGAATACCTCTCACTGATTCATGAAGCTCTTAAAAACGTTCAGGTTTGGGCACAGCTTTAATTCTCCAATAGTAAGAAACTTTGTTCTCATTTCTAGTCTTATTTTTCTCTCTGCTATTACATGCTTGGTTTCCAAATCATGGATAGCAATTAGCAGTTTAGCATATCTAGCTCCCTGAGCCAGTTTGGCTATGTCCTGCTACTTGTCATATTCTATATTATGTTCTATACTATAGTAACAAATGAAGAAAAGTTTTTTTGCCATCCTTGGATCATTCCTGTGTTTATGTCTGTTTTTTTTTCTTAAGTCCTTCTGCTCTTTTTAACTGGATTGGACTTTCTCAAGTGTTTGGGATATATCCCGCTCTTCTCTAAGACAACTTTTGCTGTGGAACTTCTCTGCCTTCTACGGCTCCCCTTCCTTTGTTTAAAGACAAAATATACTTCATTGAAAATATTATTATTTCAGTGCTGGAGCTATGGGGTGGAGGGAACTGGGGTATTTAAATGCTGCAAAAGATAGATGGGTTCAGATTTGGCAATGTCTAAGTATTGGCATGAGATATGCTTCGACAATGTCAGAGCCTGACTGGGATCCAGAAATCAATTGGGTTTTGGCCTAATCTCCCTATGGGCTTTATCCATTTGCATTTTCAGAGGATGTCTTATACACACTGACAAGTCAGTCTCCCACACAAATTGTATGCTAGCTGCCATATTCTCCATCCAGAAAACATTCAGATGAATTGTTATTCTTTCCATTATAAGTAGCATTTACACTTCTGGATAAAACAGTAAAGCAGTAATGAGAGCAGAAACGTGACTCACAGTTGTTTCCATTTGTGTTCTTCAAGAGAGACACAAAGCTTTCCTCCCTGAATTGCCATTATAGCTTCCGAAGTTCCTGTATTGCTGTAGAGCCTTCAAAGATCCTGTGTGTTCAAATCTTTATGGATTTGAACCTGACCTTGGACAGAGGAAGAATTTAAATTCTGTGACTGCTTCCAAGGTGAGCGATCCAACCACTGCCATAGGCTGGTGCTGTCATTGCCACAGAGCGGTCGGACAGTCTTTAAAGACAGCTCCAGAATGGAGGGAACGGTAATCTCCAAGGATTAGCCCCAGGCCAGGCCAGGTAACTGCTCGAAAGTGCCTGACAAAATGGCTGTCGTTTCATCCCGACCTGACACTCTTCTGACCCAGCATTTTCTGAATCAATCCGGGATATTCGCAGAGAGAGGCCAAGAGCTGCGGCCCTTCCGCGGGCGCGCGGCCCGGCCCGGCCCAGCGCCCCTCAGCGCCACCGGCAGATGGCGGCAGCCGCCGGCCAGGCCGTGCGGGTCATGGCTGGGAGCCCCTCCTCGTACCGTCGCTCGAGGCCTGGAGGTGCGCTCTGGGGCTGCCTGGGGACCGCCCGTCTCGGAGCCGCGGGTCAGAGAGATTGCCGGCGCTGGGTAGGTTTTTTTTTTTTTTGTATCTATTACCTCCTCCTCCCTGCCTCGCATGTTTTAATTAATAGAAATGGAGAAATAACCGGTGCTGGACCTGAACTGCAGTCTTATCTGCAGTGAACCCCTCAGGCGAGAGCCAGATAAGAGCAATCATGGCTAGAACCAGGCACACAGGGCTTGAAGAAGATACAGTGCCTGCCGCGGGCAGGGCCCGTGCGTGCGTGTGTGGGTGCCCGGAGCAGGGGCTGTGGCTGCATGCTGCCGTGTCTGAGGGTAGTGCTGCGCTGAATACCCACGTACTGGCCTTCAGGGGTACAGGGGCCCTGGTAAGGGTTCCTTCTCAACATTTGATTGAGGATAACATTTTACATGCGTATACCATGTACTTAAAGCAAGCAGAAAATAGATTGAAAACGCCGTAGTCTTATTAAATGTATATATATATATATGCAAAGGCAACTCCTGATCATTTCTCATCCACCTGCAGGAGCTACCTAGCAGATTTCTGAGAGCCACAACTGAGGTGCAGAAGGGAAAACAACTTCCAAGAGCCTGATGGTATGCTAACCCACACCAAAATAACTGGCACAAACAAGGTACTGAAATGGAAAAATCTCTTGCCCCACCTAAAAACTTGCTTGCAGATTCATGTCCATTCATTTGGGTGTGGCCCCTAAGGACAGTTTATTTGCTTGTGGTAAATAATTTCACCTGGAAAGCCCAGTTGCTAGCTGTACTGGTTTAAAGCTTCCTTTCCGTGTGGAGGGCAAGGTATTGATAAGGCAGCTTCTCATCTATAGGCTATAGAAAAGATAAAGAAGGGTTTCCAAATGTGCCAGGTCTATGAATATTAGAGAGGTGTATTAGATGTGTGCATTTCTGCATCTTTCCTATAGAACTGTTAAATGGCAGTAACTTAGCCCTGAAATGCTCCAGAATCCTTGATTTGCATCTTTCCACATGGTGTGCCAAGCTTAGCAGACTTACTTATAAAAATGCCTCTTTGAGATGTCCTGGATGATATGATTTGCCTTTATGCCATGAGTGAATTTTGAGGTTGAGATTGCATCTTTATTAGACTGACTACCAGAGCAAAGTATAGAAACTTATATGCATGGCCCTTTTTTCAGTCACAGAATGTACTTTTTTGTTACCTATTTTACAAGTATAGAAGTAGTTCCACTAGCTCTAAATTTATACCTACAAAGCAAAATATTTTTCAGGGATACTAGTGCCTACAACAAAATGATTTGGTGACTAGGACCATTAAAAGCGTTGTGACAAGAGGCTGGGCTAACTAATCTTGCAAAAAGGTTGCAAGCAGGGCATGTGATTTGTCCGTCCTGGGTCTGCAACTTTGTTTAGAGCTGTGTTGTATAGTGTTTATCTCTGAAAAATCTCTGGCAGACCTGTGCTGGTTTTGGCTGCAGTGGAATTCATTTTCTTCTAAGTATCTTGTGCGGTGCTACATTTTAGACCTGTGACCAAAACAGTATTCATAACGGAGGGATATTTCAGCTACTGGTGGGCAGTGCTACTGGCTCTGTTTCTCATGCTAGTTAGTGTGCTCGGGGGTACACAGGACACTGGGCCAGGCTACAGCGAGGATGGCTGCCCCAACTGACAGGAAGGATATTCCCCGTGCTGTACTCAGTATTAAAAGCTGGGGAAAATAGGAGAAAGAGGAACAGATTTTTGTGGCTGCTGTTTGTCATCCCAAGCAACTGTTACGCGTGATGTAGCTTTGCTTTTCTGGAAATAGATAAATATATCTGCCTGAATATGGTAATTAGTGAGTGAATTGCTCACTTTTTTTTTTTTTTTTCTTTTTTCTTGTGTGTGCAACTGCTGCTTTAACTATTAAAGGTAAAATTGTCTCAACCCACAATTTCTCTCTTTGGCCCTTCCAACTCAGTCCCTCATTTGGCTGGGAAGGCTTTGGCTGCACACCAGGATCAACCCACGTCAAGGTCTCACAAACACAAAAACTCCACTTGGGTTACACAAAGAAGGGGAAAAAAAAACAAAGGAATAAACACATAGAAACAAAAATGTATTTAGGGAAATTGCACAATGTGTTTTGGCTGCTTTGCTTTTTGCTAGTGAAATTCTGAGAAAGGGCAGATGAGAAATCTTTTCGTTACCTTCAGCTCTCCCAGTATCTCAAGTTCTTAATGACTGCCTTTATTCTGCAAGTGAGAGTGTGAGCTGAGACCCTGGGCTCAATAATGCATCTGATTGGCAGATGCTCTTACATTTGCCTTCACTTCAACCTGCCAAATGTTGCTTCTGCTCCCTTAATGCAAAAGTGTACATTCAGTCTCAGGTTTCTGCTGCTCCATGTTTTGATGAACAACTGGATGAACTTGCCTGAAGTTTGCCTCAGTTGTGTTGGTTAAGTTCTGCCTGTAGAGGAAAATTCATGGCAATGCTGAACACCTCACAGATAAAACTGACCAGCTAGATGACCCATGTAAAATTATTTAGCTAGAGACTGTCATTTTGATTAATGGGAATCAGATGAGAGAATAAGCAGCCCTTGAGATCAAATGCAAAATCATGAGATGGCCTACATAAAGTGCTGCAGGGGTTTAATTTGAAAGTGAATTTAAATGAACTGATGAATGTGAGCCTGAACAGTGTATGTGCTAACTTACATTTACTTGCAGAGTCAAGAACGCTTCAGACTTGTGTACTAACCTCAGTTACGTATCACACTTGTGCTCCTTCCAGGCAGCCTGCCAAGTTTAGGTTTACTATATGTTTATAAATCATAGTGAGTGACTCCACTTGATTTACATTCCTAGGTATGGAAGTAGCATGTGGATTTCACCTGCTGCTTGTTTCTGGCTTGGCATTCATTACATAGCAGAAAAATTCATATTGAGTCTGCCACTACTGGATAATCTAAGCTGACTAATTTTGTGCTTTTTCTGTTACTGAAAAAGTGCAGAAAAAACTAGGTATGTATGACCTGTGCTCTGATGCTCTTATGACCTGAGCATATAATTCAGAAATGAAGTAGTTGAGGAAAAAAATGGGAGTGAATGGGGAGTTTGGTATGACTTTGAATAGATTCTCAGTCATTTGCTTTCCTTGAAGCTGTAATTGGTGGGTGACTTGTTGTCTGTGTTTTCCTGCATTGCTTGCAACAGCTTTAAATAATCAAAAAACTACAGTGGATACAGATAATCTGAAAGCACTTTGTGGTCTGCTTGTGAAGATGTTTTCAGTCAGTGGGTACCCTTCCTGTGTAGGCTAGCACTGCTTAGCAGCTGTTGTATGGGAAAACTCGAGAATTCCTTATTGCTTTAATAAGTGGAAAGGTGGGAGTGCCTCCTTGTCTCGGAGCGTTTGCTGGCCAGCAGAATCTGAGGTGCTGCCTTGGCTTTCCCGCTCAGTAGTGTGACACATCTCTGCCAAGCAGCTTTTGTGGTTTAGAGGATGAATCAAAGGATTTCCCCTGAAGCTCCTGGTGATTGTTATAATTAGCTGCAATGCGTCTTGGCAGCTGAAACACTTCTGTGTTTCCTTTAGGCCTACTCCTGCTCTGACATTGGCAAAAGCTACCTGAGGCATCAAACTGGGGCTCTGCATGTATTCCATTAGGCAGAAAATCAGGGAGAGATTTGTGAAGTTGTATAAACAATAAGCTCACAGTAATAGAAACAAATAGAAAACAGGAAGAAATAAATTGTTTTGCCTGACATTCTAATAAAATTTTTTGCAAGCATGTGGATTAAATGGGAAATTCCTGTCTTGGTAGTTAACTGCAAACAACTTTCCATCCCTGACTCGAGTTACTTTCCTTGTTGATATTTTTACCATGCTTGCTGCTATGAGATTTCCATTTTTAATGGATAACATTCAGACTGCCTAGTTCAGGTACTTAGTTGAACTGACTTTCAACTCAGTACAAGACCTGATTTCTTTATTACTTACAGCAATGGATAGGGCACTGTGTAACTGAGTAGAAAGATCAGTTAACTTTTAGAAGGTCCTTCCCAGCTAACTCAGCATAGCATCTTGTGCTCTTTTGCAGAAAAGACAAACATGAGTAGTAATCAAATAAGACTGGAACAAATCTGGCCATCTGCTGTGTGCTATGGTGACCAGGAGTTAGATAAGGAAATTTACAAATCTAGTTGCTTGTTTTGGTCGTATGTGTGTTTGTTTTTTTTTTTCCCAGGAACTCTTAATCTGCTATAACAGATAGCTTTCTGATAAATGCTAACAAAGTTATGAGGAACAGAGCTGTTTTCTTAATGATGAAAAACACAACAGTAAAAAGCAAGGGAAAACAAGCTGCAACTGATTCATCCTCTTAATGGATTTTCATTATAGCCATTTACTGGAATATTTGGCTTTGGATCAGTCAGGATCCTTGAACATGCATGCCTCATCTGTTCTGGACACTTACTTAGGCTGCTGTTTTTTTAAGGCAGACAGTAGTAATGTGACATCATCAATGCTTAAAATGTAAATGGTAATTGAGATGGTTTTGCTTAAAAACAGCCATAGGTATGAGGAAGATACTAAATGGTAGGAGATTCTGCATTGCTGAGTGCCCACAAGAAATTATTTGGTGTTCCCTTTTTTATGTTTAGTTGCATTTTCCATCAAGCTCAGGACTGAGCTCATTTCTGTGTCCAGTGTTCAGTGCAGTCACTGAGGATCTCAGGCCCTGACCACACTGTTCTTCAGGCTCCATCGTTACAACCCTGGCAGAAGCCATAGATTTCTCTCCTTTTTAACATGGTATTGAGAAGGAACCTGGTCATTCAGCAATTACTGCATGGTGGGTCTGACAGCAGCACTGAAGTGCCAAGATTTTTGAAGAGATTTCCATTGAGGTTCGCTAGAAAAAGAAAATCCTCAACAGACATGAGAAAACATTGCATGGCAGCAGTAATAGGGTAAAACATCTGCTGTTATAAGGGTGTACTTGAGAATGACGAAAAATAGATCATACAGTATTCAGAAGGCCTAAGGCCAAATGCAGTATAACACTGCACAGTCATTCTGCTCTAGAGAGATTGTGGGTTGGCTGCTCTGTCTGAATCTTGGGTCAGGTATTGCTCCTTAGCTTCTTTTTATCAACAGTATAGATAAAGCCCTGAAAACCAGGAGTGCTTTTTTTGTTCAAGAGCATATTGTGTGCTTTGTAAAACAAAGGGTTTCTGCTTCTCTTCAGAAGTGGGCTTAGGTTGAACTTGTGTTGATGGTAGAAAGGTTTCTGTTAAAAATATTGGTGTAAGTAGGGTTGAACTGATCCTATGTGAGGCCTCTGCATGTAAGAAACTTACTGGTCGATGTCGTGGAAGTAAGAGCTTTTTGTGACACAAATGAAATGTTTACTGTATGAGTAAAAGCTAACAACAGTCTTGCAGCACCTCCACGTCAGACTGAAATGTGTTCATAGAGCTCTGGGAATGTTTTGGCAGGGCTGGGAGCGTATATGGTTCTGACACCTGTGTTTTTTTGGTAGAATTAAAGCTATCCCAAAAGGTCATGGTGAAATATTTATGCTGGCAATGAGAAGTTAAGGATGTTATAAATACAGGAGGGACACAAATGGAATTAACGTTCACATATT